ACTGTGTCAGGTCTTTCCTCGCCAAATCAGCTGGCATTCAGACAATCGTTTTAATCCCAACCGATGTTGGTGTGGTCGAATTGGGTTCGGTCAGGCACGTTCCTGAAAGCGTGGAGCTCGTGAAGGAGATTGGGTCAACATTTTCGTCTTTTTCGTCCCTTTTAAAGGCGAAAAAGGCTGCCATAAATGACAAGAGCGATCAGAAAACCGAGGTGCATAGGCAGATTCCCAATCTCGTCATCGGTGGGCGTAGGGATGTCATTGCCCCCAAGATTTTTGGGCAGGATCTAAATTCGAGCGGTGTGGGGCATTTTCGGGAGAAGGGCGCGCCGTGGGGTGCAGGCGCAAATGGTAACAGGCCGCCGTTTGTAAACACCCGTAATGGTTTCCCCTGGGCCCCACAGCCGACTCCAATTTCATTAAAAAGCCTTCCCGAGAGGGAGAAGAATTTCATGATGGGTGGATTCCAGATCCACCAGAAGCCACGGCCCCACCAGATGCAGCAGATCAACTTCGGAACAAACGCCTCGAGGCCTCGTGGCGTGGATTCGGAGCACTCGGACGTGGAGGCCCCAAGCAAGGATGATCCAGGCGGGCTCTCTGAGGACAAGCGGCCCAGGAAGCGCGGCAGGAAGCCTGCCAACGGGCGGGAGGAGCCCCTCAACCACGTCGAGGCCGAGAGGCAGCGGCGTGAGAAGCTGAATCAAAGGTTCTATGCTCTCCGGGCGGTTGTACCCAACATATCGAAAATGGACAAGGCCTCCCTGCTGGGGGACGCCATAGCCTACATAACCGAGCTCCAGAAGAAACTGAAGGACATGGAGGCCGATAGGGATGTGAGTGCAGAGGGATCGGTGGGTGGCCCGGAATCAAGGGACCCGAATGGGAGGCCTGAGAGCCCGTGGATCGATATTGAGGGGGGCTGTGATGAGGTGACCGTGAGGGTCAGTTGCCCGTTAAGTACCCACCCGGCCTCGAGGGTGATACAGGCAATAAATGATGCGCAAGGGATAATCATCGACGCAAGAATGGCGGCAGGAAGTGAGAAAGTGTTCCACACTTTTGTGGTGAGGTCACTGGGGTCCGAGAGATTGAATAAGGAGAAGTTGGCTCAGTCGTTATCGCTTAGGTGCAACTCGTCCTAGCCTGTCGTGCTATGTCGTGTTGTGGTATGCAGCGGGCAACATAGTACAGAAATGTGCTTTTTGTGGTGGTTTTTGTTATACAGAAGTAGGAGGGAAAGGGAAGAAGGCTTAATTAGTGTTCTGACCCAACTATAGGTGAAGTTTGTAGTATACAATGTTGTTTTGTTTTGTAAGGACGTGCTTTTTTTCGCCAGATTAATTAATTCTATTTACTTTTAAGACTTGGGATTTTTGGTTTGTTTTTTCACCGATAATTTATTTTCGAAGATTTTTTGTCCTTGAATAATTTTCTGTGTTTTTGTTTTCTTCTTTTCATTGGTGTGTATGATACTGTGCCTGTATATCACAATTTTTGCGTAACATTTTAGATCTGACGTGGTACATTGTTTTTTGGATTTCAAGTGACTGTATATGACATTTGGACTTAATATGCCTTGGCATTCATTTTCAGAAAGGGGAAACTCGAAATGGTTACACGTCCATATAAGGAGCTTATACGATCCTTGGCTAGTAAACGCGTTTCTTGCTTCACATTTGGTAGACTTTACCAAATACAAATAGGGATGAGAAAGGATTGGTGTTATTTCTATGGGAAAATGTTTGGACAAAATTGGTAGACTTTAGCAAATACAAATAGGGATCAGAAAGGATTGATGCTGAGACTTATTTCTATGGGAAAATGTTTGGACATAAAAGTTTTTGGTGGTGTTCGATTTTTTTGGTTTGGTTTGGTTAATTTTGAAAAATGTGTAGTTGTTAGTGGGTATATTAAAATAATATTAAAAAAAATTACACTTGATTTGATGTTAAAAGTGAGAGAGATATGATTTGAAGTAATGATTAGTTAGAAAAATATGAGTAGATGAATAGTGAACTAATGATTTATGCGAGTCCGATCCCCTTTCTCTTGAGCCCTAAATCCCTTTTCTTCTTCGCGTTGTCTACCTTCAATCGCCATTTCCTCTTCCCAGCGGGGAGCTCTGCTCGGCCGCGTAATACCCAGTCTGAGTCCCCACCTAAACTGCTGGTTTGTAAGTGCTGCAGCTGATCAAACTGTAAAAATATATACATAAACAAACACTAAGTACTATGCTCAGACTGACTAAAATAGCTACTAAGATGCTCGACTCGAACTAAATATTGAACTGGATTTACTGAAATAATCTCGGGTTCTGACTTACTGATAAATCTGAACTGAACTGGAAACACTGAACTGAACTGACTAGACTGAAAATACTGAACTGAACTGGTACTGCTTTGCTAGACTGACTGGACTGAAAGCTTAACTGAAGTACTGAACTGAACTAACTAAACATGACTGAACATACTGAACATGATTGATCATGACTGAACTGACTGAACTGAAAATTTAACTAAAATACTGAACTGAACTGACTAACTGACTAGACTGAAAATACTGAACTGATAACTTAAATGATTACACTTACACTCACAATTAAGCTAAAGTTAAGAGAAAGTGAGGGTTTAAGAAGGAGTACCGCACGGGGAAGCCGTACGCACGGACGGAAGCACCAAGGCCGAACTATCACGAGAATTTGTCACGACCAACCGTTGCGGTTGCCGCAGGTCAGGGCTCCCGGGCCCTCACTGTGATTGGAGTTTTGCGTCTGATAAGGGCTTCGTCGGGTTGTGTTGGTCCGGTAGGTCTATGAGGATACGCAACTTTTCGATGCACGACGGTGGGGCTGGGTGGCATATTCTGCCTTCCTGTGGGCGGATGTTGGAGTAAAGGTTGGCTTCCTTCCCCCAATTTGTTTTTTGTCTTTCTTACCTGGTGTTCGTAAGGCAGACCTGCTGGTTGGGTTTGGCCGTGGCCGGCGGCGACACGTCAGTGGTGTCGAATCTCGGCTTCTTGGACTCTGCCCCGGTGTAGCACTCCCCGTGTCTTCGGCATCAAAGATCCGGAAGGCTTCCATGGTCAATTTATGCCTTTCCAGGTGTTTTTTGTGGACTCTGTCGTCGGCTTCTCAGGCTGCGGAGGGCTTAATTGCGGTGTGGTACTCGGGTGAGGCATGGCTTATTTTGCTCGCCACGCTATCAAGGTGGAACCGGAGTTGTGGCACCTACTTCTTCTTTTCTCATCTGTTCTTTGTGGTTGGGGCAGAGGGGGGCTCGTGTTCTGGCTAAAGGCTAGTGGTGTTATCCGAGGTTGCGCAGTGGTGTTGTGGAGGGCGTTTTGGGCGTTTCGATGGCGGGGAGTTCCGGTGTGCACTGGTTGTCAGTCGTTTTTGTGCTGCCCGGTTGGAGAAGTGGTGCGGGTTAGGGGCTGACCTTCTTTGACTGGTTTGTGGGTGATACCTAAGAGAGTTTCGACGTTGGAGTATCAGATTTTGTTAGGTGTTTTCTGCAGTTTCAAGTCTCGGTGCTTGGCTCGGTCTGCTCTCCCTTTGGGAGAGAGCTCTCGGTTGCAGTGGCGGAGTTGTTATGGAGCTTTATCTTGTTGTGGAGGAGGGATGTAATTTAGGTGTTTATTTTGTTTAGGTGTGATGTTTGTTGCTTTGTGTTGTTAGGTCTCGTGTTTTTGGGTTGGGCCTGACATCTGTTTGTTCCCGAGTGTGAGCGGGTATTATCCTTTTGGGATCATTTTGGTTTTATTCTCCTGTTGGGAGTTTAGTAGTTTTTTATTAGTGTTTGTCGTGTCGTCAGTCTTGTGTTCCTGTTTCTAGCGTTGCTAGTGCCTAGTTCTAGACGGACTTCAGTTGTTTTCTCCCAGTTTTTTCTAATTGTTGGTTATATTATTCAGCTAGTGGTTATATCTTTGCACATTCGTGCGGATATTATAAAAGTTTCAATCGTTTCGAAAAAAAAGAATAGTGAATTAATGTTGATGTGATGTGTATGAATGATTGATTGATATTATTGAGTTGAAGAGTTGAGATGAATGCTTGTGTTGAATCGATTATGAGTGGCTAAATCCATATGCTAGAGATATGAGATTAATGTTTTGACTTCGTTGGTGATTTTCGTGCTCGTTGATCGTCCTTTTATGCGAGTTGATCTTTTAATAGGTTTTTCAATTATCGTGATTGAATGTTAAGAATTGTTGAAGGGTGACACTTCATTTTCCAATTGATTTTCAATTGAGCTCGATTTATTCTTGCATGATGTTGGTTATTCTAATTGATTAGTCGGTTAGCCACCCTCTGGTCTTCTTTAATCGACTCTTAGAACCGAAAGGAGAGGAGTCGGTCGAAATAGACTCGTAATAGGCATGTTCGTAACTGTATTGCCTATGAGTTAAATGACTTGTCAATCTGCAATGCACGTTTGTTCTCTTGTTACGAAGAGTTATTGAGAATGATTCTCTGAATGAGTAGGTTATTCAAATCATTTTACCGAACGATCACTTGCCCGATAATTGCAATTCGAACCAAAACGGATAACTTCAACTCCCTAGATTCTTTAATCTTGCTTGTTCATCGCTTTGCTTTGATATTTCTATTTGCTTTATTTGAATTTTCGTAGTTAATAATAAAAAACCAATCTTCTGAATTAGAATGTTTAGGAATTTTGTTTCTCTTTTTGTGGTTGAATAAACGTGCAAAGTAATCCGACTAACCTTCCTCGTGAGATCGACCCGGGGAACGAATCCTTCGATTCGGTACTCGATAATAATATAATTTTCTACTATTTGTAGTATTTTTGGGCATGTGGTAATCGAGCTACCCGACTCGGGTCATTCTCAAAGGAAGGTTGTTCGGAGCTTCGCTTACTACCTAGTCGTCAAAAACACATAACCAAAAAGAAGGTCCTACACATTCTACTCGCTTAAAGGGATTGATTGCACGAAATTACGCTAAAAATCTAAAAGCAAACGATGAGAGATGCAAGATTTAAAAGAAAGATCGGAACTATGGTCTACCAGAATCCCCATGACTCAAGAAAAAAAGAAAAATGACAAGAGAAAACATGCAAGCATAGTGATCCTATGTCTTCTAACACGAGCTTTCTATACTAAATCACCACGCTTTGAACAAAGTCGAAATCTTTCTAGATAAGCACATATCGAATCCTAACACACGAAAGCAAGCAATGAAAATAGAGCGAAAACCTAGAATCGAGCATCAACACAAAATCGAAAAACAAACTCGAAGTAATTAGCTCTAAGCAAGGTACTTACTCTCCTATATCGCATGCGTAGACAAAAATAGTGCTTAAAACTTGAATCTTGATCGAAAATAAAGTTGCCGGAATTTCACTGGAAAAATTGAGTCATGAGTCTCCAACCAAAGCATAACAAAATAAAAGAGAGAAATTGGAGAGGATTTCCCAAATTAAAAGTTGGGAAATAAGGGTGATGTCCAAAAATACAAAGAACAATATCTATATATAGCTACACCACAAACACACACTAAAAAACATGCACATTAAGTAAAACACTCTCGAGCTCGCCAAAAATTCCGCTGGGTTGCGAGTTGGGCACAAGGCGCGGGTGCAACAGGCGCACTCTCAAGCTCGCGGAAAGTCTCGCGCGCACGCGGGCATGGGACTCGCGCCTGGGGCGTGCTGCAAGGGACACTCGCGAGCTCGCCGGGCATTTCGCGTGCGCGGGCGCTAGAACAAGGCAGGGCACTCGCAGGTTGGAGGAGTTTCACGGGCGCGGATCACTGAACTCGCGGGATAGGCGTGCACAAGCAGGGAACTCGCGGGATAAAGCCGTTTCGAGGGCGCGAGTTCCAGAACTCGCGGGCAGCAGCAGGTAGGCGCACGGGAACTCGCGAGGTAGGGCTGTTTCGCGGGCGGGAACGACAATTCGCGGGCAGGAGCTGGAATGGTCCCGGTGACCCTTTAGGTCTCGGTTCGATCTAATTTCTTGCACGCCTATCCGATTGACTTGAAACTTTGACCCATGCTTCCTAAATCTTTTTCTCTTCATCTTGAGATGCGCAAATTGATATCACCACGCAATTAATAATATGCCCGGGACGGCTCGGAAATGGCTCGAACATGGTTTGGACGACTCAAAAATGTCTCGGAAA